TCTTTATTATAGTAGCCGTTTTTTTAATCGGTGTAAAGAATAACTGGATGTTTACAAAAGCATTTTGATATTGGTAAAGGCATCTGAAACTTTTGTGAAGCATCAAAACACTGGCATATTAACTATCAAAACATGTTTATGACTGCATAAATGTATTATTGCTTTAAAAAAAAAGTGACATATTGTGCATTTCTATTATACACAATTTGTACTAAAGCGATCTAAAAAGTTCATATAAATAAGTTTTCTCTTTGCACCACCAGGTCAGTCTTTGTACTTTCATTTCGAGGGTGCAGATTGCATAAGTTTTATTAATATGTATAACTATATTTATTTTATTAATAACTATAACTTTATATATATATAGTTAAAAAATATGTACCAATTTCCCAAGTGTATATAACTACTACTGTAAGAAAATATCAGAATTCGTACATACTTTCTGTATTATCTTTGCTTGAACTGAGCCGATCTAATCCTGTTTATATAAATTGAACCTGCTCCCGATCAGGTTTGACCTAGCAGAACTGTTGCCATGACAACAACTCTCGGATCAGCTTTGAAGAACGAAACGATCCTGAATCGTGTCAAATCGTCAATATCCAAATCCAGCTAACTGAGTAATCCACGTACGAAGAACTGACCCTAGGTCCAACCTTAATCATACCTGAACATGCTAATCAAGCTTCTACTAGATATACTAGAAACTTCCAGGCAGGTATGTTGAAGCAAGTTGCAGGACTTTGCTGGACACCAGCCCTCCAGGTCTGAGTTAGGACATGCCTTGTTTTAAAGAACGCTCCACTTTTTAAAAAAATAGGCTAATTTTAAACTCCCCAAGTTAAACGAATCCTTTTTTAAACCATTCAGCAGATCTCTGGGTCTGGTGGGAGAACTTTACCTTAGCTTAGCATAAATCATTGAAACAGATTAGACCATTAGCATCTTACTCAAAACTTCAAAAAAGGTGAAGACATGGTACAGCAGCAATGTTCCTTGATTATTAGGCCAGAATGAGAGTATAGTTCCTAATCATATCTAATTCAATGATCTAAGCCAGGGGTGCACAAACTTGGTCCTAGAGGGTCAGTGTCCAGCAAAGATTAGTTCCAAGCACAATCAGACACCTGGGCTAGCTAATCAACCTTTTACTAGGCTTTCTAAAAACATCCTTGCAGGTGTGTTGAGGCAAGTTGAAGCTAAAATCTGCAGGACACTGACCCTACAGGACCGAGTTTGGACACCCCTGATCTAAGCGAAGCAAAAAGTGCTTCCACCACACCTGGAGATAAGCCAAATGGATTCAAAAATTATAAAACTCAGCTGTTTAACTGTAGGGAGTTGTAAAATTAGCCTATTTCCAGTCAAACAATCAGTAATTTAATTAAAAAAAGATCCTTTTTAACTAAAGACAAGCATTTGTGGTTTAAAATGTACTTGAATAAGGTGAAATATCCTAAAATGTTGTCCTTAAAAATCTTATGTTCTTTTCCAGAACATTACCTATGGCAAGGAGGTGAGGACATTTTGAGGTGTTTTTTATTCTGGAAGTGAACTAATCCTTTAACATTAACCTGACACAACATTAATCCCATTTCCACGCAATGTTGCACGCCTAAATGTGTCCTTGGTTTCCTTTCACCACCTGATTTGTAAATTCCAAATATCCATGCGCATAAACAAATCTGTAGCCTTGGAGAGCAGACACATGAAACTATATGAGCAGCATCTCAAAAATCCACTTTCTCGCCAACGGTCGTCAGACGGATAATCTGACGGGTGAGAGAAACGGCGCGGGTTCGGTAATTCAATCCAGACGGCAGTTTGCTTCTCAGCACTCAGTCGGCTAATGTCATTACGGACAGGACTGTCGTAATGTGTCAGGGGACGAGGCAGAGGTGTCGCGGAGTCAGCGTCTGTAAGGCACACAGCTCCCTCCTCATTTAGCGCTAGATTTCCCAGCAGGCCGCCCCTGAAATGGATTGTTGGCTCTTGGCAAGGCAAACCACTCTATCTTACAAAATCTTTCAAGGGAGAGCTTAAAAAATGAGAAGACGCACTCTTTTGATTATTAAGATCTTGCGTTGTTCGTCTGGTTGATGGAGTAGTTTGAAGTCGTGTCAGAATTATCCTACTTGCGAGTTGAGCTTGCATCAATAAAAGTCGCAACTGGCAGTGGGAAGTTTTATACGTTCTAAACGCAATTAAACAAGACACTTTGGTTTTGGTTATACAAGGCTGTAAGGGAAATATCAACTCTCTAGCTAAGGAAGCTTTTAGAAAATGCAACTCATGACCAAATCACATTTCCGATCGTTCATGATCATACCAGGTGTGTACAGTTCTGTTGTTTTTGATCTACCCATAAACAGAAACTTCCATAGGATGACTGGAACACTAAGGATTTACCGTAGTTTTCTTAAGTAGAATACTCTCGTAGTTCTGAGGCCAAGCTGAATCGTTCTCTTTGCTTAATTGTTCCATTCCGAGCCGATCAGTATCAGTCAATATGGATACGGTTTTATTTTCTTTCTACCTTGGAGCTTATAACGGAACTCTGGAGTGTAATACAAATGCGCCAGTTGTTGCCTTTGTAATGCAAGTGTAATGTAAACCGTGATAAAGATGATGATCAAGTCATTTTGTTTTTGGAACTAATTTTTTCTGATGTTCTTCTGCTTAGCCAGCTATAGAGAAACTGGCAGCCAGGCAACAGAGTGGCCACATCACATGCACCAGTGCCCATTTCTTTAAAGAAAATGGCTAGACACAAAGAAAAACCTGACAGATCTTCTGCGCCATGCAGTAATCTGGCTATGTGCACTCCGATCTGCTTATTTAAAAAATTAACAGCACAATGCAGCAGGCTATAACAAAAAATAATGTTTAGTTATCATCTTTTTGACTGCATTTCAACTTATAACTTTCAACTTATATAACTATAAGTCTCAACTTATAACTTTATATCAACAATAATGTGCTGTTGATTCATTAGATCAGCAGATCAGAACGTGTGCAGTTTTTACACGTTACTAGTGCAGAGCTCCTGTCAAGCGTTAGCTAATGAACATTTTCGCCTTTATTTTCATTGATGAAATTAACACAGACGCACACACACACACACACACACAATCTACCATCTGGAATTCCAGGCAGAGAATGTTTCCTTTTTAATTGTGGCCTATTGTACTAGGCTTGAAAATACAATTAACCGTAACTTACTAGAACTGTTTGGCAGGATAGAAATGTGGATACAGATATTAGAAATAGCCAAGAAGATTTGGGTTAGGTATGTACACCAGGTTATTAACCTGTAACTCACAGTTAATGACTGGGATAGGTGTAGGACTATACTTCTTTTATAGGAATGATCTTCCATGATCAACAATAGTTGATTTAGGTGCATGTCTTGGAGCAAAATTGACTGAAGCACCTCATTCGTTCAAATCAAGCATGCTATTTCCTAATCCCATTCCCTTCCACTGTTATATCCATAAATATGAAGACATCAATGAACTGACAAGCTGGTAATAAAATGCAAATCTGTCCTCGGTGCCTATTGAGAATGTCTGAAAGGACTCTCGGGTTGCCTTGGGTTACTTTTCCTGTGTATGAAGGCGCATCAATATCCAAACTTGCAGATTAAGAATGATGGCTCTTAGTTTAGCATTCCCCGATTCCCGCTTGCGCGCCAGCAATCACTCCTTTGGGTGGCCCAGTGGCCACTGAGCGAATGACAAATGCTACAATCTTCGGTTTAGCCCGAGCACCGGATTCTTTCTCATTAATAATGGAAAATACAACTGCATTTTTCACCAGACAGATTCAGGATGAAAGGGAAGGGATTGTGTGCTTTAGATTGCGGAGACAAGGTTTTTTCAAAGCCCCGGGTGACCTAAAGAAAGGCATTAAACGCTGAGGAATGATTCTGACATAAAACCGAAGGTTACGGAAGGCAGCTAATCCTACGCTCTGTATTCAAGCACAGAGAGTTTTCAACACACAGGTCTTAGCTGGAGTGTCCTGGTTTAAAATCAAGCCCTTCTTTAAATTTGCAAACCGCATTAATTCCACCCCCTTTAGGGGACGTGACGAACCTCTAGTTGCACAGGTTAGGAAGATGTATAGCCACACTAGTCCCATCCTTTACTCAGGAATGGAAATTAGATGATTAATTGAGGCCTTACCCCTTGTGTGGCTTGAATTAACAAATGTTGTTTGTGCCAGGTCTGCAAGGTTTAGAAAACCCTTGCTACAAATAAAGCAAAGCAGCTCAAATCCTAAGACTTTGTTGAAATCTGTGATCTCTCGAGAAGGTACTTCAATGCCTGTGTCTAAACGCCAGCAATTTAAAGATGCACCCTGTGGATTCGGCACAAACAACCTCGGCCTAAACAGACTGCGCTTAAATAGGTCATGATCTAGACGAAAGTGAAATATTTTTGGCTTTTTGAAAGGGTAGATTTGATTTTGAGCTGACTCATCCTGTTGACAGATGTCTGTATGAAACGGGTTTATGTCTAGTGCCCTTGAGGTCAAAAAATTGGATTACCGTCATTCAGAGGCAGTAGATTTTTCTGCATATTAACTTCTGCTGTTTGAAATTGAGGCTTGCTGAGACAAAAAAAAAAAGGATTATGCAAAAATTGTTCAAAGAGTCAATAGCTCCACCATGTGGTTGAATAAGATAGTTGTCTAAAAGTAAATGTAAGGATCGCCAAACTGATAATTCAACTAAAAAAATCTATTCTATTATGATTTCCTCACTCTTAACTCATTACAAACCTCTTTAATATCTTTTATCTGTTGAATGAAAGAACTCTGAAAACCACAAGACAATGATTTCCACGTAATTTTTCCTCTTCTTCAAAAATATTTCAACAAAAAAGCAACCCATAAGGTTTGGTAACCACTTAAGGCTAAGTAAATTATTTTAAAAAGTGCTCAAAACATCATAATTTAACAAAAATAGTTAACTGATATTTACAAAAAAAAACCATACAATATGACAAGTTTATTAACAAATAACATCTTTACCCAGTTTTGTACAACTGTAGGATGTAATATAAGCCTCAAACCACACTGTCCAGTCCGGCAGAATCAACTTTTCAGCAAACATCTTTCCACATCATATAACATTTAGACAAATATAGGTGCAACAGGTAAGCCATGATTGGTCCGTGTTTAACGCGTCTTGTGCTTACTGGGCAACTTTCTGCGATCCTTTGTGGCGTTGCGTTTCCTCTTCTTACTCAAGAAGTTCTCCAGTTTTCCACTCTTTTTAAGCTCACTGTACTTCTCCGCCAACTCCAGCTTCTTCTTGTCAGCTGTAAAGAGATTATATCGATTTTATACAATTATAAATAGTGTATCACAAAGGTAATTGGATGTTTCTTTGATATATGATGTACAATTGTGAATATATTGAGTAGGTATGTTTCCATCCACATATTTTCATGCACATTTTAGTATATCACATAAAAAAAAGTTTAAAGGAAATGCCAAGATGCGCATACATTTTGAAATAGCACATAATAAATGATAAAAAGTAGGATACATGTTTTTTAGGCGATAACAAAAAATGTGCATAAACTCTGATGGTAGTAACTTATTATACAAGAAACAAGGTCCAGAGTAATCTATAAATAAGACACAGCAAATAAGACTTTTTTTTGTTTCGAAATTACGTGCCAGTTAATCAGGAAGTGACAATTTTGTTGTCTTTGACTCTTTGTCTTTGATTTAATAGAAATGGTGCTTTATTCGCAAATGTTTTATGCAATATTCCAGTTTTCCGCAAATCTAATTCGCATCGAGTGGAAACCTAGGTATTGTATATGGTGAATTTTCCCAATGTCTTGTCCAAAACAATCTGTTACTTCCACATGTGCTACAAACAAATACACTGGAAAAGGCAAATGGTCAAGGAAGAAGTTGAAATGAAAGACATATTTACATTTCTTCAGGTAGAAAGGTTTGTGTCCTTGGCCGACCAGCTCTCTCTGTTTACGCTTGAATTCCAGCTCCTTTTCTCTCTCCTGTTCTTGTCTCTGTCGGGCCCTCTGCTGGTTGTCCTGTATTACACACACATATGCACAGTGATTAAATAAACTGCAGTATTAAAGGTTACCACAACTATAATGATGTGTTACATGATTATCTGATAAAGATTTAACTTTAAGGCAAGATACTGAAGGGGAATAGAGTAAAAAAAAAATTGGGCTACTTGAGGTCAATTTCTTGATTTATTTGACAACTCAAGTGGCCCCTCTTGAGTTTTAAGTTACAGTTAAACCTGAAATGATTCATACTGCTGGCAAACAAAGTTATTTTAAATTCAACCAGCAGGATATGACACAGGATTCTCCCAAAAGATGATGGCATCATTGTGAAAAAAAAAATTTCTCAGCTTTTTTACATTTAAACAAAAACTGTAAGTCAGAATTTGCCAGGGCTATAAATAATTTCAGGCTTGACTGTTTATACATTTTCTTGGATTGTTTGTTTTGTTCAAAAATTCGTTTTACATTAAGTTTTGTAAAATTTTATTTACACAGTATATGCAAATGAGGTACTATTTTTAAAACTAATGCAATGCATACATTTCTAGCACAGAAATCTAAAGACTGGCTAAAGCCAAGCTCAAAATGTATTTGTGTGTGTGTGTGTGTGTGTGTGTGTGTGTGTGTGTGTATATACATGATTTTTTTTTGTTGTTTTTTTTTTTTTGCTTAAAATCAAGATCAGGTTTCTCACAAAATTCTGTAGATGTGGAATAAAGGTTAATATGAGTAGGCTATTATTACTAGTGTTATTTTCAAGCATATGGTAAAACAACAACAATATTATTAGGCCTATGCGTAGTCTACTGTTGGTTAAAATGCTAAATTTTGTATAGACTTAGAATGGTGGACTTGAACAGACTTTAAATTTGTCCTGGTTGTTAATTCACAAGTGATGACATCAGAATGCAAGTTGAATTATTATATTTGAGATACTTGTCTTTTGTCTTTGACAACATTATTAGACCATATTTTACTGATAAAAAGGAGACATTCATCATTATCAGAGTCAACTCTTGCATTATATTCAACATTATGACACAAATGACATTCTTGGGCGAATTATACCTTATATACAGTATGTATCACAACCAGAAAAAAATGTTGGATGAAATGAAACTAAATCCCATACAAAGCTTGGTAGATTTATAGCTCATTACCAAAGGGTAAAAAAATAACTTTGAGAAAAATATGCAGTTTAATTAAAACTAAAGGTGTCATAATACGTCAAACATACCATTCTCCTGAGCAATGCTTTCAGTTCTTCTTGTTTAGCTTTTGATTTGGTTTTCTTGAGTTGCTTTCTCACCTCCTGAAACAAATAGCAGTGAGCATACAAATAATTCATTATGAAAACAAACATTAATCAATGAGGCGGTTCTGATTTTTACAAACCTGCGCTTCCTTTTCTTGGATGTTCTTGATAAATTTATATGTCTGATTAAAGATTTCAGGTTTGTATTCTCCTGAGAGGTCATCAAAGCGAGGGTCTCTTGAAATCTGAAAAGGTCATGATTGCATGGTGACAAATCAGGTCTTCATTGTTCGAGCAAATGTTAAAGGGACAGTTCACCAAAAATTAACATTTACTCATCATTTAGTGTTTACTAACAGGAGTTTCTTTTAGCTTCCTGCTGAACACAAAATCTCTCAAAGAGAGATCTTTGGAAGCATTTCAGAAACCTGTCGCATTTCCACAGACCAGTGCGAGACAGAGCTTTTATCAGGCCTGGCCGGGCCAATTGCCCTGGAGGTTAAGCAGTGAGGCCGAAATCATGTTGTGTTTCCATGCAAAATCCACCCCAAGAACACCCCACGAATCAATCGTCAAACCACCTGGTTCAGCGGAATCAGGCGGGCAAAGCACACCATCGCATCATTACGAAACGATTAAAATGAAGAAAACAGAAACAAGCAAAAGACAAGCTAATGTACAGCATTACATGTCTATACCCACAGCTCTATGTATTTTCATTCATTATAATTGTTTACTCACCGATCTTGACCGACTGTTGGCATTGTGCATTGAGTGGTTTCGCCACTAACGCAGGGATGACCCAGCGCACCAACCATAATATAAAACCACAGAAATTATTCAATAATAACTCTGTATACAGCGTTTTTTATAACATCATTAATTAATTAAGGCTATATGACATAAATATATAATTCAGCGTTTTTTAAGAGAATAATTTAAGGATGTTGCATATTATTAGGTTATCTTAAGTATAGAAAACCATAAGCATCCCAGGACATAAGAGCAACCAATAAAATATAGGCTAGCCTATATCGTTGCGCTCGAGTACAGCAGCTTTCCAAAATCCGCATCAGTTTTAAGAAGAGAAATGTGTAATACATTTGATAAGATTGTGTTAAATATTTCAGAACGGCATATCTAGACTGATTATCCCCAAGGCAAAATTAAGATTTAAAATATAAAATATATTCTTCTGATGAAGCTCACCATTTTAAATTTAGTTTTTTTATTTTACTACGTCATATTAAACATAAACACTTGTTTGAGGACCTAGAACACATTTTTTTTGTGCAGTTTTTCCCATTCCGTTTATAAAGCAGTGCAGGACTGAATGACAGAAAAGACTTGAAAGGTAGTTTCTGATGGTTTTTTTCACCTAAAATTTAGCATGATTTAATTAATATCATTGTATCCAAATAATTTATAAATAATAATTCAAAACTCCTCTGTGGTTTGTTTTTTAGAAAATATCTAAAATCTTTTTTTCAGATTTGTAAAATAAAAGTTTAAAACTGCTTGAAACGGTTAATTTTTTTTTGTATTGTATATACCTAAATTGTAATATACCTAAATTGTAAATCCAGTATTTGTAATTCTTTAAATGATTTCAGACAAAAGTCTTTCTGTTGTATTCATATTTTGTATTCTCCAAAATAAATAATGAAAGAAAGAAGCCGCTTGCGTCAATGACAGAGCTGTGAATCCAGCGCCCTTTTCGACGGTTTCTCTCTCCCACACACATGCAACTTAACATGCATATTTCATGCGCACTTTTTAAAGATGAGAAAAACTCTCGACAACTGAAATTTAATGTCTTTAATATGGTGTAAGGATTATTATTATGAAACATCAGAGAAAAACTAAAAAAATCACTAATTAAATTAAAACTACTTTCATTATTATATGCAACAGCCTTAAATTTAAAAGGGAAATAAATGGGCGAGCTTCAGCAAAAGACCCCTAGTCTATAAGGTGTTTTATGGAATATCTTTAACTGACCAGTAGCTATGTTTCTTCTTTCCCTTATTTGTTTATTTATTGGAGCATGTACTCGTGTGTGATGGGAAAACTAGTGTAATGACAGCAACACACCATCTTGCAAACTCCGCCTCTGCTTTCACTCCGCCCCAAAACCCCAGCTGGCTCACTTTGGCCCAAGGTATTCGTCTGACAAAAAAGGCTGACCGCTGGCCCCGAAAAAGCCCTGCTTTGGCCTGATCAGGCCTCGGAAGTGACTATGGAAACGCGACTGGCCGTGGCTCGCTTTCTTTAGGCGTGAAAGGGAAAACGTGGCTATTGACTTCTGTAGTAGGAAAAAAAATGCCTACCGGTTTCCAACATTCCTGCAAACTATAATCTTATTAAAGGTGAGTAAATGATGAATAAATGTCCATTTTTGAAATGTCGTTTCAATTAAATGAAAATATGTAACGTACCATTTTCTTTACAGGAACCACTTTTCGTAGAAAAGGCACGCGTTGCTTTGAAGAAATCTCTTGAGGTCTAAGACAAAACGCACAGTCAAGACAAAATGTACTGCTAAACAAAATAACATTTTTAAAAATAAGGACATAAAATAATTAAAAGGTGGTTACAATTGTATTTTAAAGCAAAATAAAGGAAGTTGATCTGGTCAATTTTAAAACTTTTAAATAATCAACATTGTTTTTGTTATATGAAATAAAACTGACATAATATAATGACTTGAAAAGACAAATATTTTGCATGTTGTTTTGGCTCTGATAATTAATTGAGATAAAATAAGTTTAAGAAGAAGCAGAAAAATTACAAAAAATAAATGGATTAAAGGATTAAAATATGTTTAAAAGAAATATTAAAACAATGACAACAAAGACATTTTGTTAAAAATTATATTAAAAAGGACCCAAACTTTAAATTAAAAATTTAGTAAAAACACTGTAATAGTACCAAAAATATAAAAATTATTAAATAAAATAATTGAAGCTAAAAACAAACACTTGTCTTAAAAATTAGAAAACAATCACGTAAAATGTCCTTTTATTTTAATCAAAATAAGAAATAGCAATAATAACAAAAGTTAATTTAGAAAACATTAGCTACACAAACCAAAGTAGATCAAATAACTAATGCTAAATCGGAACAGTTATAGATATTATATATATATATATATATATATATATATATATATATATATATATATATATATATATATTAGGGTTGGGAGATGTTGACCAATTTGGCATTGTACGATGTCTAATGTAAAACATCACGATAAATGATAGCATCGTCGTTGTATGCGGCGGGAAATGAATTATTTAAGAATTATTAAATAATTAATTTATAATAAATAGATTTTTTGTATCCTACCGTTTTAACTACCTGACGCGCACGGTCTTTGTTTGACCCATAACCAAATCATAAATAAATAAAGATAAGTTACACACAAACTTACCACCTGTCAATTACTTTTTTCCCGCAGGACTCAGGTATTAATAGTCAGAGTGATCTGTGTCACTATAATGGCGTTGACAAACTTGGATGGTAAAAAAGGTGCACAACCAACAGGAATTAACCAACAGAATCTTAGCTTTTCGCTAAAATGACTTGATTACTTGCATGAAAGCGAAAGATTGAAGCAGTGTACTGACGCTGTGACGTTACCTAATAGACTTAAAAGACCAAAGAGTCGTTAGATAGGGACAAGATTAATTAAATATCACATTTAACAACTATAGTGAGACACGATCCAGCGGTGCATCCTTGATAAACTGTCCGACATGCACTGCTCTCTGGGGATATGTGCTCGAAGTACCCGTTGACTGCCTGGAAATCAGACGTGCACATATGCTGCAGCGCATGACAGAGTGTGTGTGGTCACGTTATGTGTGTTTTTAGCGGTATAGTGTGGACGGAGGGCTTTTTAGTAATGCTAAATGAAAGCCAGTGTGGTTGTGGATCGTTTTCGTTCTAAAATGCCATTTAAAACTAAGACGTATTAGTGTTAACTAAGTGTGTATTTTTCGCAAGCGGATTACTGCTGCAACAAGGGCGGGGCAGAGGATCGAGATGCCGGCTCAGCATTGTGATATCGGCGATGGACGATGGCATCTTCCATCGACCCAACCCTCATATATATATGCACTACCAGTCAAAAGTTTGAGGTCAGCTTTTTAATTTTTTTCATGTTTTTTTTTTTTAAATAACATTATTCTGTCCATCAAGGCGGCATATATTTAATGTAAAAAAATTATATTTAATTGTTAAATATTTATTACAATTTTAAATAACTGCTTTCTTATTGGATGTGGTTTCAAATTACGTTATTACTCCAGTCTTGCTTTTATTACTATTAGCATTAATAATATTAATATTAATTATAATAATAATTAACATTAGAGTGATTTCTTAAGGATTGTGTGACTCTGAAGACTAGAATAATGAAGCTAAAAATTAATCTTTATAATCACTGGAATAAATGCTTAATTACATTATAAACTACTTCTGAACAGTTACTTTATAGTGCAATAACATTTTACTATTTTTACTGTATTTTTAATTAAATAAATGCAGCTTTGGTGAGCTGGAGAAGCTTTATGGTACATATTAAAATAACAACGCTAATACCTGTGTTTATTTAGTCGTTTCATGGGCTCATTTTTCTTCTTCTGCTTTGTGTCTCCATAAGCAATTTTATTGTACACTTTGGTCCCGACTTTATTCTGAAGCGCCATGATCTCCTCAAACGACATGGTTGATAATTCTGTATGTAATTGTATGTAAAAACATAATTACAAAAGTGTAAACATAAAAAATATTTTTAAGAAAATAATTAAGAAGTGATAAGAAAAAACAATGACCTTTTTTAATGTTTCCCTCCATGTGTGACTGTGTCTTGCTGTTTCCTTCATCTTCATGTTCACTATCAGACTCGTCTTCATCACTCGCTGCATCATCTTCCTCAACCTCTTCAGGAGCCTCATCTTCTTCCTCTGCAGATTCACCTTCATCTCTCATATCCTCCTCATCCTCTGCTGGAGCTTGATTCATTCTTTTTTTACTGAGTAGAGCAAAATTTCTTTCCATCTCTAACTCGTCCTCTTCATCATCAGAACTCTGAGGCTCCAGTTTGGCGGCTCTCTTTGTTGATTTAGGCATTTTGTTCAGTTTTTTGTCCATTTTTGTAATTAAATCCGGCTTGTTTATGAGCTGTAGAAAAATACATTGAGATTTTAATAGTGTTTGGCTTTTCATAAATAGTTTTTTAGTTTGCTAAAATAGACTTTTTGTGACACTTTCTTGTATTTAAATCTGTATTCTGAAGGTTTTTACTGAGGGAGATTACGCATTTCATTCATTAATTTTCCTTCGGCTTAGTCCCTTTATTCCACAACGGAATGAACCACCAACTTATCCAGCATATGTTTTACACAGCGGACGCCCTTACAATTCATTTGATAGTAAAATATATTTTTAATTATTTTTGTTTGCAGTATTTAATGAATTAGACTGTAAGAGATTCCTACAATCTTCTCTGTAAGAACCTTTGACTCAAAGCTGTCAAAGTAAAACAAGCATTTTGAAGATGACTTCAAACAGTATTCCGATTTTTAGCAATGTAACGCTACGCTAATTTTTGTATAAACATGGTTTGTATGAAAAATTGTATTATTAGTACAATAAGCATAAACTATTAGAAAAACAATGTTTGTTATTCTTCACGTAAATCAACGGAGAAATGATGGTGGTTAATACCATTTTGCAAGGATATCATTTAACCTTAATATTAAAGATAACATAACAATGTTACAACCAATGGAAATTTTTATTCAAAATATGGATTTCCACATGACTATATACACTTATAGTTATACCTGAAGAGTTCAGATGCAAAAACCTCTAACTGTTAAGTGCCATTTGAGTTTTCTAATATTAGCATTTTCCTCAGGCTAGGTCTTGATTTAGTAATTTCACTTTTATGTCAAAAAATAGATTACTTTCATCGCCTTTAACATGAAATAACCGGACATAAACATGCGAGGTTTAGAAGAATGCTCATCGTAGAATAAAATTACCGTGTTGTTGTTTTCATTTGTAAAGTTACATCAGAATACAGCAGCCTAATATTACGATAAAAGCAGATGAATATTAACGTGACATATTCATTATAGATGCAGTGTTGTTCCAGGTAACAAGCAGGAAAAAACTGTCAAAACATAGTGTGTAATATAACCAATAAAAACGAATATTTGCGAGAAAGCCTCCTTCTATCCACACGTGGAAGACAATGAACTGCGCATGCGCGTAAATCCTATCAAATTAAAAGTCCCATGTTTATAACATAATCTCATGTCAAAATAAAACGCATTCATTCCGTTATTTATTGCTCAGAAAAATATATATCTGTATAATAGTTTCATATTTATGTATATATATATATATATATATATATATATATATATATATATATATATATATATATATATATATATGTCTAGATTATTTTGCATATACTTTTTAATTAAAATATTAATATAAGGATTTAAAATTCGTATTTAAAGATTAAAATATTTAAAATGTTTTTCTTAAATGAACTTATTTATGTCCTCATTGATGTGATCTTGCTCAAGTGGTTGTTATTTTCTTTTTTTTATGGCTCTGGCAAGATGTTCATAACTATTAATGAATTCTAGGTGTTGTTGTTTTTATGTTTTAATTATTTAAATTATGACTGAACTAACTGCTGAGGACTAGGAATAGTCCACGACTAACTTCAGTGAAATGCATAACATGGCAGCATTTATTTTATAATGGGGTATATATGCACACAGACTTTTTAATTTCACTCAGCCAACCCCAGGGCCTCCGGTTAACTGTCATCCCAGACAAAATCGGTGCATTTAAGATCTGATTTCTTAAATCTGATTTCTTAATCATCACTGCCTGGCTGAGATTCAATATAAAGTGGCTATCAGATCAAACAAAAAACACTGCCTTATTCAATTTTTTCCACGCCATGTCTTTGAAATATGGAAAATAATTTTACCCCAGTATTTTCAATAGATTTTTTTTGCGCTGGCCTGCCGCTAATGATGGCGCCTGTGTTTAAACGTCTTTCATCTCTTTTTACGCTTAAACAACCAAATGGATGCTTCACTGGATATATTTGAAATACATTTGACGTATTCTGTTCCATCTTGGGTGTCATTTGTCAGTATTGCTGACTTCTTATCAATTAGAAATGATCAGACCGGAGGTTTTGAATATCAGAAAATAGACTTTATTCTCCATGATAAAGCCAGGAAAGAGCAGAGCAGACCCCAGAGCATTCTGAAGTCTCTCCTGGACAATTCATTTCCTTTCTTTCTCTCCTCTTTTCTCAAGTCTCTGTGTTTTCCACAATCTATATAAAGGTTATTTGACACAGCCCTAGGTGTCTCATTTTAACTTTTGACCATTTTAGGATAGGTTTTTAGCTCTGCCAGCTTGCTACAGTCAGTAGAGATGTCACAGGTCATGTCAGCAACTGTTTTGACACCAAAGTTCTCACTCCATAGATGCAACTTATGCAAAAGGACTAAGTGTTTACATACATTGTCATGATAGGATAATAACCTGATAATGTTACTCACTTTAGCTTCTGACACATACAGCTTCATATAAGTATTTAACATATATAATCAGTGCTTTACATATTCAGTTATTCTACACAATCAGTCATTCTTCAGCATAGCCTTTTCCTAGTGTTGGTCCTGTGCAGGCATACTCTTACACAGTTTTTTTTTAACACATGCTGGCATGTTTGCTGCAAACACTTCATACTTTTTGAGAAGAGAAAATTGACTGCTTTACACTTAGAAAATACTCCACACTGAGAGAATAAAATCTTCTTTACATTACAACAACAACGATGCTGCAAAATAAACATTCTGACATTGAAAATAGTCACATAAAGCTTTCACCGGAAGTTCATCACTGGCTGAAAAACACTAGCTGTGCATATAGCTCATATATGTTCCCATTATCAAATAAATTTGAATATTAAAAATTCAGAGAAAAGAAATACAGATATACAAGTTTTTTGTAAGACATTTAATTTAGAGATTTACATTCACTTGGTCATTTAACATAACTGTATTTTTACAATATTATACTAATCAAATATCAATTTAGTAAAATAGATCAGCTCTCAATATTTTACATATTATTGATAATGTACACGCCCTACAATCTGCAAGTTATCAGTTTTCTCTCAATGACATGTTTGTGATATGCATTTATATTATGCATTCCTTTTATCAGTATGGTAGTTTTATGTCTTTATTGGGTTCAAAATAAAAGTCACAACTTAAGTTTTCAGCCACGCAGTTCTGCGATGTCCCAGACCAGGTTAAGAGGCACGTGTTTCATTCTTTCTTCAAAGACACGATCAACACATTCACTCTGAGCCACGGTTAAAGAGTTCTTCCAGTCTCCAACTGTTCCTGAAATACAGTAATTTGAAAATAAAATATACAACACTTAACATTCCAGATTATATAATTTATTCTGCAAACATAGTGACTTTTTTTCTTTTGCAATGGGATGTTCACAGTTCTGAATAATTAATTAATAACAACAGACTCCCCAAAAATAGACTCTAAAAATCTATGACTGTAATATGTCCAAATAAATGAATAAATAAATAAATTCTATAAGAAATGTATTCAAATGATTGTATATTTAATTTCAATAATTAACTTTTATTATTTAACAATTAAACATGCTCCATTTGCACGTTTAAACATAACATTGTCATGCAAAAAATGTCTTTTTTTCAAAGCCGCTTCATTTATTTATTTATTTGTTTATTTATTTATTTATTTATTTATTTATATTGCTTGCAATTCTGAAAGGGACAGTTCACCCAAAAATCAACATTTCCACAACATTTAGTCACACTGAATTGGTCCTAAACTTTTATGAATTTCTGAAAAAGCAGCCATTAATGTCTATATAAGAACAAAAATACTGTGAAAATAAATGGTTCTACCAACATACTTCAATTTATCTTTCTTTGTTCCTAGCATAAGAAAGTAATGCAATCAGTTATGATAATAACAGTATTTTTGGTTAATTTTACCCAATTCAATCTGCATCATCATCCAGGGGAATTAAGATATGGTTAAATGAGTTTTGGTTAAAACAGCTTTAAATACCAGATCTTTATGTCTCACTTTTCTTTTACCTTTGCGCATAAAAACTCCTTTTGGCTGATCTGTGACCTCCTGAGGAAGGGACTCATAGTTGGCCACAGGGTCTACTTTCATTTGATTGAATGTTGTTCTTTCCACCACTTTATTGATGGCTGCGTCTGACAGATTCTTGCCAACAAACTTACAGATTTTCACAATGACAGATCTGAGGTCCTGATGGAAGATTTGTGCATGTTATTATACCTAAGAATACTTTGATAACTCTTAATGGAAAGATTAAATGGTCATAAACCAAACTGGTCTCACCTTGATCATCTCTTCATAAGTCAGGATCAGGATGTTGTATTTGTCTTTACTTGTCACCCATCCTTTAACATGGTCAAACCAGGAGCCACCAATCACTAAAATAACACACAGCATTAGTGTTTTTAAGGTTTGAAAAAAAAAAGTAAAAATAGTGAAATAAAACAAAAAGTTATGTGCCTTTAATTTTATGGATATAATAAAACAGGAAATGTATATTTTAATGTTACATATAATATATATTTGACAAAAGGTTTGTAAATATGGTAAAAAAAATCTAAGCTAAATATCTGTAAAAAAAAAAAAAAAAAAATGCATTCCATAATTGAGTTACGGTTAACCCTAACTCTAACTCATACCTCAAAAATAAGCTTTCAGTACAATTTTGTTTGGCTGCATTACCAGACATCACCACCAGTTGACATCCAGTTTCTATTGGTGATCATTTGAGGGCGCCCCTGTTTCTGTATATTTTTTCATACATTTGGCAATATTTGTAAATTACGCATTCAATTCTAAAGTAGTATGGGCAGTTTGGAGGTATTTGATTTTATTTGAGCCTCAGAAATAATTTGTAAAAGACTTATTTTACAGATGGATTGCTGTAGCTAAGTAATGATGCATATTCTTGTTGCAAATTAATTACAGTTGTTCAGTAATATCTGTAAAAAAATCAGTCACCTGCTCATCATCAAGTTTTTAAATGATATATAGTTTGTCAAGATTGCTTTAAGTGCAAATAATTGCACAGTTAAAGGACAGTAAATTGATTTTGATCTCTTGCTTTTTCTACATGACACAAAACAAAAAACTGTGGTAAAATTATTTTAAACTGAAGAACGTCGGAAATATTTCGAACACTTAGACCTTTCCAAAGATAAATAGTTTAATTAGATTAACATTTCATTGAAATACAGTAAATTTTAAGCTTTCTGCTACCAGGATGATGACGGTTAAATGATTAATATATACATTTTATTAGTTAATATATAAAAAGAAAATGCAAATAAAAAAGTATTGAGTTCTTGCATCACATTTTGAAAAAGTTGGAACAGTAAAGCATTTACTACTTTGTAATCTTTGTAATCTTGCCATTCCTTTTCACAACACTTAAAAGACGTTTAGAGACTAAAGACACCAAGTGATGAAACAATTCAGGTGTAATTTTGTCCCATCATTCTTGCAAAAAAGTCTTGAGGTGGGCAACAATGCGGGGTCTTTGTTGTTGCATTTTGCGCTTCAAAATGTGCCACACAACTTTTATTGGAGACAGGTCAGGGCTGCAGGAAAGTCAGTCAAGTGCTTGTATCCACTTCACAGCCAGAACTTTAAAATCTGTGCAGTGGTTTTACCAGTTGCGTTTTTGATGTGGTTTAACATTGTCTCGTTAAAATAAGCATGGGTGTCCCTGAAAAAAAGAAGGCAGCATATTGTGGTCCAAAATCTCTATGTACTATTCAGCATTAATGGTACCATCACAGAAGAGCAAGTTACCTTTGCCAAGGGCACTGACACAACCCCACACCATGACAGACCCTTAATTTTGGACTTGTTGCTGGTATCAGTCTGAATTATCTTTTTTTGTTTGGTCTGGAGCACACATCATCTATTTCTCCCAAAAAAATACCTGAAATAATGATTCATCTGACCACAGTACATGTTTCTGCTGTGTGAAGGGCCATCCCGAATGCCTCTGAGCCCAGAGAAGTCGACGTTGCTTCTGGACACTGTTAACATAGGGCTTCCTTTTGGCACAGTGTTCAGTTTTAACTGGCATTTGTGGATGCTAACTATGTACTGTATTGTAGTACTTGACATAGGTTTGCCAAAGTAGTCCTATCCCATGTGGTGATGTCGCTTATAAACAAATGACGATTCTTAGGGCCTACTCACACTATGCTATCCGTACCGTGCCCAGGCCCGTTTCGAAGATGGTACATCTAAAGGATGTTATCACTGTTGATGATGAAATATCCAAATGTCTTCCTATATTTCTTTGAAAAGCATTCTTTTTAAACATTTTAATAATTTTCTTACGTGTTTCTAAAGAAAAAGACCTTTCTTGGATGCTGCTTTTGTACCAAATCATAATTACAATCCCCTGTTGACATCATCTGCTCCAGATCACATGATTATTTAACCAATTTACATAATTACTAGCCCTAAACTGCTCCTGTCCCAACTTTTTTTGGCAGTTCATTCCGCTGTGGTGACCCCGGATTAATAAAGGGACTAAGCCCAAAAGAAAATGAATAATGAATAACATGCATTCACTGACAAATGTATATGCACTTTTTAAAATAGACGAGATATGATACAAAAAATAGGAAAAAAATTAAAAATAGTCTACAAGACAAAATTATATATTATATCTTAGATTTATATTATTACATTACAAACTAGTGTTTATCTGATTATTATCATTATAATTATTATCATAATCATTTACTAAGAAATGTATTTGTTGGGCAAAAATGCTGTTCTTACTGCATCCTGTAAAGAAATTCTCCAATATCTCATCGTAGTTCTCAGAAGAATCCAGGTTTTTCATTTTGTTGGAAAAATGAAAATACGACACCATGACGTCTTTGGGGTTCCTCATGACGTAGATGACCTGATAGCAAAAACAAACATTAAAAACCTGTATGACCTCTAAACAATCAAATTGACTGAAAAGTTTGTACACACTTTTCCTTTCTTCTGGAGAGCTCTGGGCATCAGCGGCTCCAGTAAATGCGAACAGAAGAGTCTTGGAGATGGACGTGCGTTGTAATCTTTCCCTTTTTCACGATACTCAATCCAGGGCATTTGCTCATATGTGATTTCGTTGGCTTTCTCTGGGAAATCCTCCTCATAAATTAAAGTCATGATCCGCTGGGTCCATACTGTACCTGAGAGAGACATATAGAAATACACTGAGCTTTTAAAATGGAAAATGCAAAATATTCCTGTTATATAATAAACATTGGTGTCAACGTTTAGCTGCAGCTAGTTTAACTTATAATGACATTAACTACATTTCGACATTGAAAATATATTAAATTTAACCTCCAAAAAGTATTTTCTTGACCATGAAATTAATTTTTATTAAAATTTAGGTTAATTGAGGTTGAAATTGATTATATTTTACACTCCAAAAAGAATAAAGATATGAAGAATATATACTTCCACCTCACCGTGAGTATGATTGCACCATTGAATTACTGCCTGGCACCAAGCCCCCCCGCGGGAGAATCTTTCCTCTCTCCCAAACAGAAACAGATACCATGAGCGCTTACATTAAGGTGGAATTGGAAAAGGGATTCATTAGCCCATTTACATCAACCGCTTCTGCAGGCTTCTTCTTTGTGGAGAATAAAGATGGAAGTTTACGCCCCTGCATAGATTATCGAGGTTTGAACGAGATCACTGTTAAGTACCGCTATCCATTGCCTCTGGTCCCAGCCGCCCTGGAACAATTACGCTCAGCCAGGTACTTCACAAAACTTGATCTCCGCAGTGCCTACAACCTCATCCGCATTTTTGTGTGCCACCCCAAGATTTGGTGTGGCCTCTTCTGGCCACCCCTATGAAAAATTTCTGGGGGCGCCACTGGTTCCCATGGTCAGGTGAACCATCCGAACTCCCAGCCCAGGAACGCAGCCCAAACACACCTATCTCATGCTGTAAGGAGATTCAAGGAACAATTCGACCAAGTTTCACTATTAAAATATATACTACACACTTACCAGATTTGGGGAAGGTAACAACAAAGACATCGTCATCCCTTGTTTCAAAATCCTGTAAACTGTCAATATATTCTGGAGTAATGTCGTGATTGGTTTCCATAGTCAAGACAGTTCCTTTGTACTTCAACAGTTTGTCACTAATCATTTTGCATTCCTCCTGAGCCATGTTTGGTTTCTTTCTAAGCCAGAATCAGCAAGACTGTAAACCACGAAGTAGATCCTGTTACTGTATATTCAGGGCCAGATTTCATTGAGAAAAGAGCTTATCACTGCTGTTACACAATATAGAGTTAAAGGGTTGTTTATTTATGACCAACCTTTGAACTGGGAGAATCAAATTAAGTTATACATTTAAAGAGGAAATGTAAAGTTCATGAATGCCTGGTCTGTAGTGTCACACACTCGTAAAAATTACTGTAAAGGATCTCATTGGCTTTAATGGATGCACGGAACCATCTTTTAACACCCGTAGAACTTTTTCATGCCAGAAAGTGTTCTTTAGTGTGGAAAAGATTCTTTAGATTATTAAATGGTCACAGCATTAAGTAAAAATTATATATGTAGCCATAAGAGAACATAAAGTTATTTTATCACTGTGAAGTTTAAGTTAACACAAGGAAACACATCATGCAATTTTTAAATGAAGGTTTTTTATTGTTAAAAACAAAAATAATAATCCCAAAGCGCCATTGTGAACAAGTGTTTGCCCCTAAACCTAATACCTGGTTGGGCCATTCTTATAGCAACAAATAAAATCAAGCATTTTGGATAACTTGCAATGAGACTGTTACAGCGCTGTGGGAAGATTTTGGCCTGTTTATCTTTGCAGAAAAGTTGTATTTTAGCCACGTTAGAGGATTTTAGAAAATGAACCGCCTTTTTCAGGTCATGCCACAGCATCTCAATTGAATTGAGGTCAGGACTTTGACTAGGTCATCCCAAATTATAATATTGTCTTTCTTCAGCTATTCAGAAGTGGACTTGCTGCTGTGCTTTGGATCTTTTAAGTCTGCCATATAATTATTATTATTAGTCGTATGATCATTTTTCTGATAGACTTACAATGCTTTTGGGGAACACATGGTAACATTTAGATCACTTAGACACTTTAAGGTTTGTTTTGTAACATTTTATTTGAGACTAGTTTTATTTTTAATATTTTACAAATTGTAATTTATCAAACACTTTAAAGTCATTCTGTGGCACTCCTGGAAGCTGACTAGGTCCTTCAATTGACAACATCTGTTCTAGATATACTGACAAATGAAATATCATGACAGGCTCAGTAGAAAATGTTTCATATGATTCATCTATGTCCTGTATCTTTAAATGGGATTGTTTCAGCCTAATTTAAAGGAAACATTCACCCAAATATTTAAATTTACTAACCCTTTACTTCGATTCACCAACTAGTACATTACCAAAACAAATAAAACAAGATGGTGTCTTAAACAACTTGTGGGGAAGTTAATTTAAATTTTGGGTTTGACATTCACGTTTGAAATCATAACATTTATGTCTGTGACCTGAACTTGAATTTGTTTACTGACATCTACTGGTTATTCTGAAAAACCCAAAGAATGTCGGAAATATTACAGAGAAGTCAGAACCTAGTATTTCAACCAATGAAAAAAACCATACAAAAAATTATTGGTTATCTCATTATAAACATAAAATCCATAAAATTGGGAGACATTTCATTTAGAGCAAATTATCAGTTTTCTCTTTATGATAAGCATTCCTTTTACCAGTATGATAGTTTTATATCTTTATTTGTTTAAAAATAAAAGTCACAACTTAAGTTTTCAGCCACGCAGTTCTGTGATGTCCCAGACCAGGTTAAGAGGCACGTCTTTCATTCTTTCTTCAAGGGCACCATCAACACATTCACTCTGAGCCATGGTTAAAGAGTTCCTCCAGTCTCCAACCGTTCCTAAAATACAGTAATTAAAACAAATAAAGACACATAACATGCCTAAGTATATCTCTTATTTTACAAACTCAAAAAATGTGTTTCTTCTTCTTCTTCTGTTGGGATGCGATGTTCACAGTTCTGAATTATTGAGTCATAACAACACATCCCCCCACCCATCCCCCCCCCCCAAAAAAAATCTCTGTAATAATGTGTGACTCTAATATGTCCAAATAAATGAAATCATTAATTTAAATAAACCAAATAAAAAATATGTAAGAAATGTATGCCAATTAATTAGCGTTTATTTAATTAAATTATTAAATAAATACATAAAAAATGCTCCAATTGTCCGCTTTGGCAACCCTTGATAAATAAGGCTGAGCCGAAGAACAATGAATGATTGAATGAATGCTCCAGTTCAATATAACATTATAACATTCTATAACAAATGTTTGCAATTCTTTTTTTTTTCAAAGTCTCTTTATTTATTTATGTATTATCATTTGTATTGCTTGCAGCTCTTAAAGGTACAGTTCACCCAAAAATCTAAATTTCCTCACCATTTCCTCACACTCAAGTGGTTCTGAACTTTTATCATTTTCTTTCTTCCAATAATGCAAATCAAGATAATCTGAAAAATGTAGGGGAAAAGAAGCCATTGATGTCCATATATATGCAATCAAAATATTTATATATATACTGTGGAAGTAAATGGTGGTTGTTTTGCCCCAACATTCTTCAGTTTATTTTTCTTTGTCCTTAACATAAAATAAAGAAACTCAAAGATTGTGAATCTCTTTAATTCAATCAACAAATGAGAAAAACTGTGATGCTAACAGTATTTTTATTAAAATTTTCACCCTGTTTATCTGCATTATCTTTCAGGGGAAATTAAAATGGTTATGTTATATGTTTAGCAACGTGAAGCAACTGCTTCAAATACCAGCTCTTTATGTCTCACTTTTGTCTTACCTTTGCGCATAAAAGCTCCTTTCGGCTGATCTGTGATATCCACAGGAAGGGACTCATAGTTGGCCACAGGGTCTACTTTCATTTGCTTGAATGTTGCTCTTTCCACCACTTTATCGATGGCTGCGTCTGACAGATTCTTGCCAACAAACTCACAGATTTTCACAATGACGGATCTGAGGTCCTGGTGGACGATTTGTACATGTTATTTTATCTAAGGAGACATAAGGATATTAAATGGTCATAAACCAAACTGGTCTCACCTTGATCATCTCTTCATAAGTCAGGATCAGGATGTTGTATTTGTCTTTACTTGTCACCCATCCTTTAACATGGTCAAACCAGGAGCCACCAACCACTAAAGTAAAACACAGCATTAGTGTATTCAAGGTCACCATTTTAACCCCTTAACTCCCAATAGACTCTCAATCATAGACATGAAAATGACATGTTCAACTCAACTTAAATGATTGCCTATCTTCAATGCATTGGTGCATGGATTTGAGCTAGTTTTTATTTTAATGAAGACACTTGTCAGATTGTAGCTTAAGGTAAAAAAAAGGTTTTATTTATTAATTAATTTTTATTTTATGAAAATAATAAAACAGGAAATGTATATTTTAATATTTTACATATTATATGTATTTTACAAAAGCAGTTTTAGCCCAAATTTGATAGAAAATATTAGCTATATCTAAAAAAAATGCATTCCATAATTGAGTAAGGCTGAACCTTAAGCTTAACTCTAACTCATACCTCAATAATTGAGACGGTGCTCGCTGCAGAGCCATTTGAGCAGAGCTGAGCTCCAGCCAGGGGGAGCATGAGCTCTCGCTCATCCACCTATAAGCTGTTTTAATGCGTACACCAACCCCACCCCTAACCCTACCCCCAGTGACATCACTCGTAGAAGAAGTGCAAGAAAGGAGGAGCGAGAGCTCATGGTCCCCCTCGCTGGAGCTCAGCTCTGCCCAAATGGCTCTGCAGCGAGCACCACTTGCAATAATTAGCTTTCAGTCAAACATTGTTTGGCCGCAGTACCATTCATCACCACCAGTTGATATTCAGTGTCCATTGGTGACAATGTGAGGGTGCTGTTTTGAGCAATATGAACCTTTTTTTTTCATACGTTGACAATATTTTTGAAGTAGATCATATTCTGAAGGAATATAGGGAGCTTGGTAGTATATGACTGGAACTGAGCCTCTGAAAAACATCTAAATGTTTTTACATGTAGATTACTGTAGCTAAGTAATGCTTTAAGAAGAATATTCTTGTCCTTATCCTTGTAAATAACAGTTGCTCAGTAATATCTATCAAACATCAGTCACCTGCTCAGTCATCAGGTTGTTAAATGATATTTAGTTTGTCAGAATTGCTTTATGTGTAAGTGCAAATTATTTCTCAGGTTAAACGGCGACAGTAAATGGATTTTGATCTCTTACTTTTTCATTTTAAACATTGTGTCATGCTAAAAAAACACCAATATATATATATTTTTAAATTTAAATGTATATTTATATTTTTTACTCCTGTATATTGATATAATATCGATACAAAATATAGGTTAAATGTTTATTATAGCTCACAAGACAAAATTAAAAGTTATATTATTACATTACAAACTAGTGTTTATCTGATTAATTATCATTATAATTATTGTTATTTACAAATAAATGTTGTGCAAAAATGTTGCTCTTACTGCATCCTGTTAAGAAATTCTCTAAGACCTCGTCGTAGCTCTTGGCAGAATCCAGATTTTTCATTTTTTTAGAAAAATGAAAATATGAAACCATGACATCTTTGGGGTTCCTCATGACGTAGATGACCTGATAGTAAAAACAACCTCATTAAAATCCATACGCCTGCCTGACCTCAAAACAGTCGAATCGACTAAAGAGTTTGTACACACTTTTCCTTTCCTTTTGAGAGTTTTGGGCATCAACGGCTCCAGTAGATGCGAACAGAAGAGTCTTGGAGATGGACGTGTGCTGTAATCTTTCCCCTTTTTCCGATACTCAATCCAGGGCATTTGCTCGAATGTGATTTGTTTGGCTTTCTCCGGGAAATCCTCCTCATAAATTAAAGTTATGATCCGCTGGGTCCATACTGTACCTGAGAGAGACATATAGAAATTCAGTGAGCTTTTAAAACAGAAAATTATAAATATTCCTGTTATACAACAAACATAACCTAACGCAAAGTTTAGCTAGTTTAACTCATACTGACTTTAACTACATTTTGACATCAACAATATATTTAATTTAACCTCCATAAACCGGAATATAAATCAAAATGTATTTTCTTGATCATAAAATTCATTTTGATTTAAATTTTGGTTTATTGAGGTTGACATTTAATATATTTTACACTCCTAAAAGAGTGTGGATGGAGATATAAAGAATACATCGATTAAAACGACACACAAATATAGATGTGATTTTGTGATTTTTTTTGTGATTTGTAAAGTTAAGAAGTTTATTAATTAAAAACTACACAAAACATGTTCAAAAATGCATTTGTAGACTTCTAAAATGTAAATTTATTTTATGGAATACATTTCATAAATCTATATGTCATATTTAAAATATATATGTAAAAATACATTATATATCCTTTACTCAGCTGAGTTTCACAATTACAGCATACACTGCACACTTACCAGATTTGGGGAAGGTAACAACAAATACATCGTCATCCCTTGTTTCAAAATCCTGTATACTGTCAATATATTCTGGAGTAATGTCGTAGCTGGGTTCCAGAGTCAACACAGTTTCTTTGTACTTCAACAGTTTGTCACTAATCATTTTGCATTCCTCCTGAGCCATGTTTGGTTTCTTTCTGAGGCAGAATCAGCAAGATTGTAAACCACAGAGTGCAGCCTGTTATATCCAGGGCCAGATTTCATTAAGAAAAGAGCTTATCGTTGCTGTTACACAATATAGAGTTAAAGGGTTGTTTATTTTTGACTAACCTTTGAACTGAGAGAATCAACTTAAGTCTTTATTATTGTCAGAAGCTGACTTCCTATATGACTTTGGATAGGAGGAGGGTATTCATTCCTGGGACCCGATTCTAAGGAAGATAGGAATGTGTGCAGGGCATGGTTTGAGGTGACACAGGGGTGAAGGGCCCGGCTTGTGCAGAGGAGGTGAACCAATGATCAGGGGTTGCAACAAGACAGGCCAGGGAGAGAGATTGGGACCACTTAGGAAGGATCGGGGCAGGGGCAAATAAAATGGGCGACCCCGGGAGTGCAGACAGGACTGGTAGCTTGGAAACGGTAGTAGGACTTGAAGCCGGGAACTCGCTGGGAATGCTGGATGTCTGCGAAGCTTTGGCAGGGGCAGGGGCCAGGGGAGTGCCGGTTAACTCGGAAGTCAAAGGGGTACCGGCCAGGGGAACGGCGATAGGGTTAGAGATCCAAGGGGTACCATTTGGTACATAAGCTTGGGGAATGCAGGTTAAGCTGAAAACTTGAGGAGTGTTGACAAGGCTGGTGGCCTGAAGAGCACTGGTAAGGCTGGAGGTCTGAGGGGTACCAGCAAGGTTGCAGGCCTGGGGAGTGCCGGTAGGGCTGGAGGCTTGAGGGGCCGGGGGCGATGTCAACAGCGATGGAGGCCAGGAGTGCACTGGCTGGCCTTGAAGGCCGTAGCATTGTGATTGGTTTGGAGGCTTAGAGGTGGGCAGTGTCCAAATACTGCACGTAGGGCAAGGATCCAAGCTGAGACTGGCAGGGTCAAAAGGGCAGGCAGGCAGGAAGCCCCGGTTGTATTGGTAGGGGGTTGTGATCTTGCTGTGGACTTGACACAGGCCGTTCTAACCATCCTAATGGTACTAGCTATTTGGGTACCACTTGACACTGTACTGGTCTTCAGGGGGAACTCCAGAAGTGACATGAGCATTTTGAGGTGTTTAGTAGGCAGCTTGGACCATTCGGGGAGCTCAGGAGATGGTTCTGGCTGGTTGTGGAACTCTGGAGAAAGCCCTGACGTTCTTTAGCAATGAGGACAGCAATGAAGTGCAACTGATTGCGGAAATACTCAATGCTGATGGTAGTGTCTGCAATACCTGCTTGAGTGAGTCCACAAACACCTGAAAAGGATTGTACAGCTCATCCGATGACTGTAAGGGTCCAGCCTTCTGTCACAGAAGCATATGGGATCCAGGGCAATGAGTATACGAACAGTTTATTGTATAAGGATGGTAGTTAAACAGAAACACATGAAACAGGTTGCAGAATGAAGATGGCTTGGTTGAAGGGATGATACGTGGAATATGATGAAAAACAAGAGAGGACGAAACCTGACATGGAGACCAGATGGCTAACAGGCAAAGGAAACCATAAACAGATTTCAACCAAGAGACCAGACAGGGAACCAGGAGGGATCAACAATAGAGACACAAATACAGGAGATAGCAAGGAACAAGGAGAGGTGAGTAAATTTGAATAAATGTTAGACACTGACCGTATGGAGAGTGCAGTACTTCATTGATGCTCCGAGGCCGGACACAGAGGTTGCGTTTGAAACTGCTAACTACTCAGTAGGTACTGCATTTGAATTTAAACGTACTACTCGGCCGTTAGACAAGTACGTTCTATAAAGTATGAATGTGAGAAGGATGAATGGAATTCTGACATACTACATCCATCATTTTGTCATCATCACGTGACCTACCTGCATCAGTTGCGTAGTTTCACTCCCATTCATGAATTTTGTCGCGGGGCATCATGGGATAGCACAGCATGCATGGGAGGCGTACTTCAGAATCTCGCCGGAAGCAGTAAGTCATCCGGATACTTCTTGCATACTGATTTTCAAATTCTATGAATTCAGACATACTACTCGGCTCGCATACTGATTTTAGCGTACTATACATTATGGAAGTATGCGGTTTCAGACACAGCCAGAATGCGGAGTGATGCGTGTTTATTTAATGCTGGGGTGATGATGTGCAGGTGCGGGACTGATCAGATGAGGTGAGGGAGAATGAACTGCCTTTATAAGGTCATGTCACAGCATCTCAATTGAATTCAGATCAGGACTTTGACTAGGCCACCCAGAATCTTAATCTTGTCTTTCTTCAGCCAATCAGACGTGGACTTGCTGCTGTGCTTTGGATCTTTTAGGTCTGTTGTATGATTATTATTATGATCTAATTTAGATCAGTCATATGATCATTTTTCTTAAAGACTTACGATGCTTTTGGGGAACATTGTAACATTAAGATCAGTCGTACAATCATTTTTACAATCAACTTAGACTTACTAATGCTGTTATGAAACAGATACTAACATTCAGTCTTTTTATGATCAAACTTTAAGGTTTGTTTTGTAATATTTTATTTGAGATTAGTTTCGGTTTTAGTATTTTACTAATAATAGTTTACCAAACACTTTAAAGTCATTCTGTGGCACTCCTGAAAGCTGACTAAGGCCCTCGATTGAGAACCTCTTATCTAGATATACTGACAAATGAAATGCCATGATAGCCATCATAAACAGACTCAGATTTATCTTTGTCCTGTGTCTTTAATTAGTGTTATTTAAAGGGGTATTTCACCTTAAAATTTAAATTTACCCACTCTTTACTCAAGTGCTTCCAAACCTTTAGTTTCTTTCTTCTGTTATTCACTAAAGAAAATATTTTGAAGAAAGCTGGAAACCTGGAACTACTGACTTCCATAATAGGAAAAAAATACAGTGTAAGTCAGTGGTTACAGTCTCCAGCTTTCTTTAAAATATATTCTGTTGCGTTCAACAGAAGATAGAAACTCCACCAGGTTTAGAACAAGTGAAGGGTGAGTAAATGATTACAGAATTGTCATTTTTGGTTCAATGCCAACCGGTTCAATGTCACACAGTTCTTCTTAAATAAGAGATAATGGCAGTTCAGGAGAGTTTGCTTCTTACTAGGGCTTTGTCCCAAGATAACCCCTTCATAAAAGTCATGTTTGCTGTTTTGAGCGTGGAAAAGAATGTAGTGAAGCAATCACAGTAGGACAAGAAATCGACCCACAAATTATACATACACCATAAGTAAACAAATAAAACATGGTGTTTTAAATAACATTTGGACAAGTTCATTTTTAATTTTGGATTTAACATTCACCCAGTGGCCGTTTTAGTTTAAATGGCACACTGGGCGAAACCACCCCAAACATACCCCATATTTAAATATATTTATTTATTTTCAATAAATATAACAATTTGCTTATTATTATCACCCTTTACTTCGATTCACTAACTAGTACATTCCCAAAACAAATAAAACAAGATGGTGTCTTAAACAACTTGTGGGGAAGTTAATTTAAATTTTGGGTTTGACATTCACGTTTGAAATCATAACATTTGTGTTTGTGACCTGAACTTGAATTTGTTTGCTTACATCTACTGGTTATTCTGAAAAACCCAAAGAATGTCGGAAATATTACAGAGAAGTCAGAACCTAGTATTTCAACCAATAAAAAAAATCCATACAAAAAATTATTGGTTATCTCGTTATAAACACAAAAACCATAAAATTGGGAGACATTTAATTTAGAGCAAGTTATCAACTTTCTCTTCATGATAAGCATTCCTTTTATCAGTATGATAGTTTTATATCTTTATTTGTTTCAAAATAAAAGTCACAACTTAAGTTTTCAGCCACGCAGTTCTGTGATGTCCCAGACCAGGTTAAGAGGCACGTCTTTCATTCTTTCTTCAAGGGCACGATCAACACATTCACTCTGAGCCACGGTTAAAGAGTTCCTCCAGTCTCCAACTGTTCCTGAAATACAGTAATTAAAACAAATAAAGACACATAACATGCCTAAGTATATCTCTTATTTTACAAACTCAAAAAACGTGTTTCTTCTTCTTCTTCTGTTGGGATGCGATGTTCACAGTTCTGAATTATTGAGTCATAACAACACATCCCCCCACCCCCCCCCCCCCCCCCCCCCCCCAAAAAAAATCTTCTCTGTAATACTCTGTGACTCTAATATGTCCAAATAAATGAAAACATTAATTTAAATAAGCCAAATAAAAATATATATGTAAGAAATGTATGCAAATTAGTGTATATTTAATTAAATTATTTAATAAAAACATAAAATATGCTCCATTTGTCTGCTTTGGCAACTCCTGATAAATAAGCCGAAGATAAATGAATGAATGAATGAATGAATGAATGAATGCTCCATTTGCATATTGAAACATAAGATTGTTCTACAACAAATGCTTGCAAGTCTCTTTATTTAATTATTTATTATTATTTGTATTGCTTGCAGTTCTTAAAGGGACAGTTCACCCAAAAATCAAAATTTCCTCACACTCAAGTGGTTCTGAACTTTTATGAATTTCTTTCTTCCATTAATGCAAATCAAGATAATCTGAAAAATGTAGGGGAAAAGCAGCCTTTGATGTCCATATACACGTAAATAATATATATATATATATATATATATATATATATATATATATATATATATATATATATATATATATATATATATATATATATATATATATATATACTGTGGAAGTAAATGGTGGTTGTTTTGCCCCAACATTCTTCAGTTTATTTTTATTTTTCCTCAACATAAAATAAAAAAAACTCAAAGATTGTGAATCTCTTTAATTCAATCAACAAATGAGAAAAACTGTGATGCTAACAGTATTTTTATTAAAATTTTCACCCTGTTTATCTGCATTATCTTTCAGGGGAAATTAAGATGGTTATGTTATATGTTTAGCAACGTGAAGCAACTGCTTCAAATACCAGCTCTTTATGTCTCACTTTTGTCTTACCTTTGCGCATAAAAGCTCCTTTCGGCTGATCTATGATATCCACAGGAAGGGACTCATAGTTGGCCACAGGGTCTACTTTCATTTGCTTGAATGTTGCTCTTTCCACCACTTTATCGATGGCTGCGTCTGACAGATTCTTGCCAACAAACTTACAGATTTTCACAATGACGGATCTGAGGTCCTGGTGGACGATTTGTACATGTTATTGTATCTAAGGAGACATAAGGATATTAAATGGTCATAAACCAAACTGGTCTCACCTTGATCATCTCTTCATAAGTCAGGATCAGGATGTTGTATTTGTCTTTACTTGTCACCCATCCTTTAACATGGTCAAACCAGGAGCCACCAACCACTAAAGTAAAACACAGCATTAGTGTATTCAAGGTCACCATTTTAACCCCTTAACTCTCCCCAATTTTTGATCATAGACATGAAAATGACATGTTCAACTCAACTTAAATGATTGCCTATCTTCAATGCATTGATGCATAAATTTAAGCTTGCTTTTATTTTAATGAAGAAACTTGAGAATAATATGAAATAATAAAACAGGAAATGTATATTTTAATATATTACATATTATATTCTGAAGGAGTTTGGCAGTATATGATTGGAACTGAGCCTTTGAAAAACATCTAAATGTTTTTACATGTAGATTGCTGTAGTTATGCTTTAAGATGCGTATTCTTGTCCTTATCCTTGTAAATAACAGTTGCTCAGTAATATCTATCAAACATCAGTCACCTGCTCAGTCATCAGGTTGTTAAATGATATTTAGTTTGTCAGAATTGCTTTATGTGTAAGTGCAAATTATTTCTTAGGTTAAAGGGCGACAGTAAATTGATTTTGATCTCTTACTTTTTCTTTTTAAACATTGTGTCATGCTAAAAAAAACACCAATATATATATATTTTTAAATTTAAATGTATATTTATATTTTTTACTCCTGTATATTGATATAATATGAATTCACTGACAACTGTTTAATTTACAATAGAGAAGTATATGAGCAATATTTAAAATAGACGAGATATGATACAAAGTATAGGTTAAATGTTTATTATAGCTCACAAGACAAAATTAAAAGTTATATTATTACATTACAAACTAGTGTTTATCTGATTAATTATCATTATAATTATTGTTGTTTACGAATAAATGTTGTGCAAAAATGTTGCTCTTACTGCATCCTGTTAAGAAATTCTCTAAGACCTCGTCGTAGCTCTTGGCAGAATCCAGGTCTTTCATTTTTTGGGAAAAATGAAAATATGAAACCATGACATCTTTGGGGTTCCTCATGACGTAGATGACCTGATAGTAAAAACAACCTCATTAAAATCCATACGCCTGCCTGACCTCAAAACAGTCGAATCGACTAGAGAGTTTGTACACACTTTTCCTTTCCTTTTGAGAGTTTTGGGCATCAACGGCTCCAGTAGATGCGAACAGAAGAGTCTTGGAGATGGACGTGTGCTGTAATCTTTCCCCTTTTCCCGATACTCAATCCAGGGCATTTGCTCGAATGTGATTTGTTTGGCTTTCTCCGGGAAATCCTCCTCATAAATTAAAGTTATGATCCGCTGGGTCCATACTGTACCTGAGAGACATATAGAAATACACTGAGCTTTTAAAACAGAAAATGATAAATATTCCTGTTATACAACAAACATAACCTAACGCAAAGTTTAGCTAGTTCAACTCATACTGACATTAACTACATTTTGACATCAACAATATATTTAATTTAACCTCTATAAACCGGAATGTAAATCAAAATGTATTTTCTTGACCATAAAATTCATTTTGATTTAAATTTTGGTTTATTGAGGTTGACATTTAATATATTTTACACTCCTAAAAGAGTGTAGATGGAGATTTAAAGAATACATCGATTAAAACGACACACAAATATAGATGTGATTTTGTGATTTTTTTTTGTGATTTGTACAGTTAAGAAGTTTATTAATTAAAAACTACACAAAACATGTTCAAAAATGCATTTGTAGATTTCTAAAATGTAAATTTATTTTATGGAGTACATTTCATAGATCTATATGTCATATTTAAAATATATATGTAAAAATACATTATATATCCTTTACTCAGCTGAGTTTCACAATTACAGCATACACTGCACACTTACCAGATTTGGGGAAGGTAACAACAAATACATCGTCATCCCTTGTTTCAAAATCCTGTATACTGTCAATATATTCTGGAGTAATGTCGTAGCTGGGTTCCAGAGTCAGGACAGTTCCTTTGTACTTCAACAGTTTGTCACTAATCATTTTGCATTCCTCCTGAGCCATGTTTGGTTTCTTTCTGAGCCAGAATCAGCAAGACTGTAAACCACGAAGTAGATCCTGTTACTGTATATTCAGGGCCAGATTTCATTGAGAAAAGAGCTTATCGTTGCTGTTACACAATATACAGTAAAGTTAAAGGGTTGTTTATTTATGACCAAACTTTGAACTGGGAGAATCAACTTAAGTCTTTATTATTGTCAGAAGCTGACCTCCTATACGACTTTGGATCGGAGGAGGGTATTCATTCATGGGACTCGATTCCAAGGAAGAAAGGAATGTGTGCAGGGCATGGTTTGAGGTGACACAGGGGTGAAGGGCCCGGCTTGTACAGAGGAGGTGAACCAATGACTAGGGGCTGCAACAAGACAGGCTATGGAGAGAGATTGGGATCACTCAGGAAGGATCAGGTTAGATTGGCGACCCGGGGAGTGCTGACTGGACTGGCAGCCTGGGAAAAGCAGTTGGACTGGAAGCCTGGGACTCGCTGGCAACGCTGGATGCCTGTGAAGCTTTGGCAGGGGCCAGGGGATTGCCAGTTAACCTTGAAGTCAAAGGGGTACCGGCCAGGGGAAAGGCGACAAGGCTAGGGGCCTGAAGAACGCTGGTAAGGGTGGAGGTCTGAGGGCTACCGGCAAGGTTGCAGCCTGGGAACGGTGTCAACAGCATTGGAAGCCAGGAGTGCACTGGCTGGCCTTGAAGGCAGTGTCCAAATAATGCACGCAGGGCAAGGATCCAAGCTGAGACTGGCTGAGTGAGAAAGACAGGCAGAGCAAAAAGCCCTGGTTATATTGGTAGGGGTCTTCCGAGGGAACTCCAGAAGTGACACAAGCCTTTTAAGGTGTTCAGGAGGCAGCTTGGACCATTCGGGGAACTCAGAAGATGGCTCAGGCTGGTTGGGGAACTCAGGAGATGGCTCTGGTTGGTTGGGGAACTCTGAAGGCTGCAATGAAGTGCAACTGTTTGCGGAAGTACTCAATGGTGGTGGTGGTGTCTGCAATACCTGCCTGAGTGAGTCCACAAACACCTAAAAAGAATTGTAACAGCTCATCTGATGACTTTAATGGTCCAGCCTTCTGTCACAGAAAGATATGGGAACCAGGGCAATGAGTATATGACCAGTTTATTGTATAAGGATGGTAGTTAAACAGAGACACTTGGAACAGGTTGCAGAATGGAGATGGCTTATTTGAAGGGATGATACATGGAATATGATAGGAAACAGGAGAGGAAAAAAACAGACATGGAGACCAGGGGCCACATGTACGAAGACTTGCGTGGAAATCTTACTAAAACATTACGTACGCACAAAGCTGTAAATGTGCGTACGCAGAAAAAAATTCAGATGTATGAAACACTGCGTACGCTGAATCTCACGCATATTCTTCTGTACATCCGAATGAACGTGAAACTGAGCGCAACATGCACGAGCACACAACCCCTCCCTGCCTCCTCCCCCGTATGAATATGCTAATGACTATGCTAATGGCAAAACTCAACGAAAAAGCAATGGCAAAATCAAGCAAAAAGAGAAACTTTGAACAGAATGTGAATTGGAGGTGCTGCTTTCGGAGGTAGACCGGAGAAAAGCGGTGTTATTTGCAAGTTTGTTCTCCGGAATTAACAACAAAAGAAAAAAATAGAGTGGGAGAGTTTAGCTGATGCGGTTAACACAGTTGGGTCTGAACATCGCACTGAGTGCATTAAAAAAAGAAATTGTGTGGTTTATATCTGTAAAATGTTGCAGTGCCCTTAGCAGTCTCGCAAGCCTGCGTTTGAGTGAAGGTCTCGGCCGTTAGATCGCCCCCTGGGGGCTGGCTGCAGTACAAGTCATAAAGCCCGCCTCCTCCGTGTTAATGAAGGAGACTTGAGCCCAAATAAAAAAAATTATTACACTTGCAATAAAAAGTCCAGAAAGATGGTTCTGGTCGATTAAGGCACTGGTTATTGTGCTGAAATAGGTGCAGATCTTCATTTTTGTAAACAGTTTGTTTTTAGCAGTAATTTAACGCTGGGCGTGTCATCGTGATTGACAGCTGTGATTGACAGTTTCTCAAAGCAGCGCGTCTGAGCTTCGGCAGGAGACTGAAATGTTATTATTCGATTTCTGTGTTATTTTACCATGACAAAATGAGTTCAGCAGTAAACTACAGTTTCTGACATACATGATCTGGTGGAACACTGTTTATTCGCTAAAGTCAGGGCTTTTTTCGGGCTTATTAGTTTGCTGATACACGCCTAGCCACCCAGATGGCAAAATACACTCGGACCAGTTCGGCTAGATTCTCGCCTGCCGGAGACTTACCTCTCAGAGCTCAGACTGACTACCTCAGCTGGACCTTCTCCGGATGCCTGGACTCACTGCCCAATTCCAGCCCGAGTCAATCGAGCCAGATGCGGCGGCCGAGCGAGCCGGCGCTGCCGCATGCGAGCTGGAATCAGCCCGCGACGCCGCGAGTAGGTTATGCGCTGCAGCCCGGAGCTGGCGCGATTGAATATAAAAAACCCTCATATTTGTTAACGTTATTACATCCATTTGTGTTGATATGACAGCAAACGCATGCTGAGAAGTTCGAGGGGCGTGGTTGATTTTACATAAAGCGTTTGGTTGGAAGCTCGACTCCGCTCATTTTCGTGGCTCCTCCTCTGGCTCCATCAGACAGTCCTTCTGCGCATGTCAAGACTCCAATTTCAGCAGTCTTTTGAGACAGTTTGTGCCCGTCAAGCAGGTGTTTTGCCCTCAAGGCGTTCAATAGGAAAAGGGGCTGTCGCGTCGTCCATATTTTTACAGTCATTGGGCGCACCTCAAAAGACGCATGTGATCATGTAATGACACGTTCGAGCTTAAACTTGGCTCGAATCCAGCGTCTGACGAACTCTTTCTTCTTTTTTTCCCCGCTACATATCAGTTTTTGCCCACTATTTATCATGAGAAAGACAAGTAGGAATCATCAATAAGTTTGTGCATCATATTTTATTTGCACATTTATTGAATGGAAATGTTTCTGATTCACGCATGCAAATTCATCTTCAGATAGTGTCTTTATAGCAATGAGCGTGCGGTAGATTGCTCAGATTACATTGGGAAAACAGGCGACTGCTGCAAATTGTGCTTTAATGTTTAGCTGGTCAACTGTATGGTATGGAAACCTTACATACCTACTAGATGAACCCGTCTCATACAGCTGCCATTGCAAGGCTCAGACACTTTGTAGAGAGGAATTTAACACAACTGCCTCTAGGAGTCGCCAATGGAAATAAAACAGACACGCACAAAAAATGTGCGTACGCCAGCCAGAAAGCTGCCGTGAAGCTGCACACATTCCCACGTTCAGTTCATTGTTAGTAAATCCAAACGTGAGCGATTCTGAGCGTGAAACCTGGCGTACGCAAAGTTTTTTGTGCGTACGCAGCGTTGATACATGAGGCCCCAGATGATTACCAGGCAAAGGGAACCACAGAGATTATAGGTGAGGGTGATCTTGGTGATTGTGAGAGGGGAGAACCTGGTCTGACTATGACAATTATTTAAACAAAAATGTTTAATGTATGTTTGTCACGCTTCAATGTTTCAGATCATCATTTTCTTTTAAATATTAGTTCAAGCTAACAGAAGGAAATGCGTCATGTAGTTTTTAAATTAGGGCTTTTTTTATTAAGGAAAAACAAAATCCAAAACTACATAGCACCATGTGAACAAGTGTTTGCCTCTAAACATAATAACTCGTTGGGCCATCTTTAATAGCAACAATTATAATTGAGGATTTTTGATAACTTGCAATGAGACTGTTACAGCGCTGTGGGAGAATTTTGGCCAGTTCATCTTTGCAGAAAAGTTGTAATTTAGCCACATTGGAGAGTTTTAGAGAATGAACCACGCCGGAGTGGGACTCATTTTCATTTTCATTTTAATTTTCCCTGGAGTTTCAAGCCAGACCGGCCCACGTCAGTTCACGACAGATTCCAATTCAGTTTCTAATGACACTATCGCGTCTTTTTTAAGAAAACAGCTGCTTTAAAAATTCAAATGTTCAACAGCCCTAACAGTATTATATGTCTTAATAAAAATGGAAATAATAATAATAATAATTTTTCAGGTATGAACACGGTCCGGCTGCGTTGAAACGCAACGTGCTTACCACTAGTCCACAATGGCACTAATATTGTTGGAATAAAAAATAAGTAATGACCTGTGACCCGTGTGTGATGGCTTAATCTTTTTCTCCCCTTTTTAGATATCTGATCAAGCTATGTTAGATAATGTAGTGAATCATCTGATTTTCATTGAGCTGGTGTATTATTCGTTAATATTAATTATTCAAATTTTTATTTTCACTAAGGTGCCACTGTTTGGGGTCGAATCATGATAGTTACATCATCATTAACGTTGGTTAACCTGCAGGCTGCATTTTGCTCACTGGGCTGCGAGAAAATAAATAAAAAGAGCAGCGCTGCGGCAAAATAATGAATAAAAGAGTGAAGCAATGGTCAAATAAATAAATAGATGAAAAAAATGTGACTGCTGACAGTGCAAACAGCTCAGGACACCGGTCCTCACGGAATTCTCCAGGTCCTCCCGATTAACCAATCCCAACCTGGAATGAACCGCCTTTTTAAGGTCATGCCACAGCATCTCAATTGAATTGAGGTCAGGACTTTGACTAGGCCACCCCAAATCTTAATTTTGTCTTTCTTCAGAAATTAGTTGAGATTAGTTTTGGTTTTAGTATTTTACTAATAATAGATTACCAAATACTATAAAGTCATTTTGTGGCACTCCTGAAAGCTGACTAAGGCCCTTGATTGAGAACCTCTGTTCTAGTTATGTTGATATGAAATACCATGATAGCCGTCATAAACAGACTCAACAGAAAATGTTTCATGTGATTTATCTTTGTCCTGTGTCTTTAATTGGTGTCATTTAAGGGGATAGTTCACCCAAAAATTTTAATTTACCCACTTTTTACTCAAGTGCTTCCTTCAAAAAGAAGATATTTTGACGAAAGCTGGAAACCTGGAACTACTGACTTCCATAATAGGAAAAAATACAGTGTAAGGCAACAGTTACAGTATCCAGCTTTCTTTAAAATATCTTCTGTTGTGTTCAA